GCACATAAAATAGATATATAAATCAAATTTTTGAGGAAGGGAAGGAAATTATTGCTTAATGTACATCAACAAAATGTTCTGCAAGAGGCACATGCGAGGACATACGGGAGAAAACCAACACTAAGGCTCACTGCGGACACTCAGAAACCCTAACTTCATTAATGACAATACTTTTACTCTCTACGTATGTCATCACATGTAATTCTGCTACAGGCATTTTCAGCTAAGTGTGGCATTACTTTTATGGCTTGGACGTGAAATGTCCCTCACAGGCTGGTGTGTTTAAAATCTGGTCCCCAGAGCTGGAGAGACGGCTCAGAGGTTAAGAGCACTGGCTATTCTTCCCAAGGTCCTGAGTTCTATTCCTAGCAATCACATGGTGGCTCACAACCATCTACAGTGAGATCTGGTTCCCCCTTCTGGCCTGCAGGCACACAAGCAGGCAGAATACTGTATAAATAATAAATTAATAGCTCTTAAAAAAAAATTCTGGTCCCCAGTTGGTAGCACTATTTTGGGAAGTTGTGGAACCTGGCTGGAGAGCAGCTGAGGGTCTGTACAGCCTCACCGTCTCTGCCTCCTGATCTGCCAAGAGGAGAGAAAGCAGTTACCAGTCCACCAGCATGCCAAGCCTCCCTCACACCTTCCATACCATGAGGGACTGTATCCTGTCAACTAGAGGCCAAGACAAATCCTCTTCCTTCAAGTTTCTTCTGGCAGGTATTTTGTCAAAGTAAAGTAACCAATCGACTACACTTTCTGAGCTGAGGAAGCTGAGGCCTCAAGAGTCAAGTATCTTAACAACAACAAAATCAGACAGACGACAACAACAGAGCCAAGTCCAAGCTCAAACTTGCGCTCTCTGCCTTCACTGTGAAAGCACACAGAAAAGGCACACTGTGTAGTGTCAGCTAAGTGCCTCAAATGCATCTAGAGCCAATCTACGCTTACAACACTGTGTGGGACTGGGAGGGAGGGGGGAGGGGGTGCGGCTGGGATACAAGCGAATGACCTGTGATTGAAATAAAATCAAAAAATAAATTAAAAAAAAACATTGTGTGTGTATGTTATTTGGCATGTAGAATTCCTTGCTAGTAAATTCAGTACTTTATACAAAGATATACTTTCACAGATGATATAAAACAAACTATTTTTCCCTTCATTGTGATTAATTCCTAAATTGGACTCTGATTTTATCAAACTATTAATACTGTGACTCTTCCAGCTACCAAAAACATTGCAAACTCCCATATTCAATCAATTTCCTTTTTTTGTCTATCAATTATTTTCATTCTTACTCCTCTCCATGCTGTTATGGGCCAGCCCCAACTGACCTCCTGATACTTAAAAGTCTTCTCCTTCTTGGGTACACAGGACAATGCTTTTTCCCAAGTCTCATTTTTTCCAGCAACTGAAGCCCCACCTATGCACAATCTATCAGGAGCCCTTCCATATGCTAGGAACATGCCTCCCATGCCCTACATCTCAAAAACCTTTAGGAAAAGTCTCATCTACTGTTCAAGACCAAGTTCAACCACTATTATTCCATAAAGCGCTTCTGGTCTTACACAGAATTAATGTCCCTTTTCTACGGCCCTCACCACTGTGCTTAGTGTACTCACAGGACAGGACTTAAGCGTCTGTCCCAGCCATAAAAGTAAGTTTCTGAATTATAGCCTTTACCTGTTTGTCCCCAAGCAAGTCTTTAAGTACTTAATACAGAGAATTTCCTAATTAAGCTATTTTTACACTTCCAAAGTTACAAATAAAGTATAACATGAAACTTGGCACTCTGTAATAAATAAATAAATAAATAAATAAATAAATAAATAAATAAATAAAAGTTTCTAAATTGATTTGTTCCTAATTTGCATTTTCAAAAAATTTATATTTGTATTTTAAGGAACTTTTAATGTTCTAATTCAAAATGCTTCATTAAACTATAGACTTCTCTCAATGAAATGGCCAGTTTCTTTATATCCTACAACATAAGAGATACCTAATGGTTGCTTAATAACTGAAAGCTATCTTTGCTGTAGTCTAAAACTAAACAATATAGCATTCTAACCGAAATCTTGTTTGTTGTTGTTGTGGGTTTTTTGTTTGTGATACGGTTTCTCTGTGTAGCCTTGTCAGTCCTGGACTTTGCAGACCAGGCTGACCTCAAACTCTGAGACATCTTCCTGCCTCTGCCTCTGCCTCTGCCTCTGCCTCCCCGAGTGCTGGGATGACAGGCCTGCAGCACTGTGCGGGATTTCCAATAACCATTCTAGCTGTCTGGGCTGTTTATCCACTCTAATCTAAGAACTGAAAGCCACCGTCAGCAGGATGACTATCATAATCTTTCTAGCACAAAGAACAGATTAGGCACACACTTTAACTCAACAATTATTTTTTGATGTTTTAATGCAAATTCTCAACTTTTACCTGACTACCTTCAAATCATACCTTTCCCTTCATGAATTCCACCCCTGAGTGATGTTGTCTTTGAAAAAACTATAAAATACCTTCTTCTTTTTTTTATTTTCTTATTGAGACCAGAGTTTCTCTGTGTAGACTCTGCTGTCCTGGACTCCTTGTAGACCAGGCTGGCCTTGAACTCACAGAAATCCGCCTGCCTCTGCCTCCCCGAGTACTGGGATTACAGGTGTGGGTCATGGAGCCCAGTTACAAAATACCATTTTACAAATGAGGCATACCAAATTTAGAACTTAAAACTTCAGGGCTAAAGAAACAAAGAAGTACGGTATGTGCCTGAGCTCATCCTGAACAAAACAATCAAGCCATCCCTTCCCCCCCCTTCTCTGCCTCTCCCCCTCCCCCTCACACACACACACACACTTGAAAGCTTAAGGAGAAACATTCCACTTTGATTTCTTAGCCACTTATACTGCTGAGAATCTTAAGCAAACTTCAAGATAAAGAGCACACACCATCATTTCCAAACTCCTCAACAAAACACAACTGTCCCAAGTTTGGGATCTACTCTGCGCTGTATAGTAACAAAAATCAGTGTAAAAGTATCTTTTGATTTTAAGTTTGTGAAAAGATACAATCTTACCTCCCCCTCCCCAAACTGGTCACCTATTGTCCCTTGGCTTACAGTTTTGCTTACTTGAATCTTCTAAACAGAGGCTGAGACTTAAGTAGGAGCCTTTCCCCTCTGCAATTTTGCCTACTGAACAAGCACTAATAGGAAGCATAGGGTTTTTGCCATGGTGGGCAAGTAGGCAATTTTTAGGAGTTCAATTTATTCACACGGTTGAGAGGAAATGCTTGCTTTCCAAAGTAGACATTTTCAGTCACTGGAGGCACTCTACAGGATGGGTACAACCTACAGCTATCTGCTCTCCTCTGCAGATAGCAAAACGACTAGGAACGAATCTTCTGGAACCAAAAAGTACACAGGTACAAGTTCAATTTATGAGCACTGGTGCGGCAGGTGACTCACATGGGCTCACCAAACCGATCCTCTTCACCAATCTAAAGACGAATCCACCATGACAGCCACCATGCCTACGCCTGACTACCCCGTTTTACCATCATTTGTACTGAAGTCTTGCTACTAAGGAACTCCTCTCAAGCTCCTTCCACCACGCCCTCCATTCTAAAGGAGCAACGATTAAAAATAAATACACAGACAAATATGCGAGCCAAATCTATTCCATATTAGTTAATACCTCTTCTTGTAAATACTTCATAGAACAAGATACGGGTTGAACAGATCACCTATAGGTCCTACGATGTGTGGATAAGTAAGTAATAAATGAATAAATAAATTTTAAGGCGCACCAAACCCAGAGCCATTAGGAGATTCCCCCCTTGGGCTCCTGAGTACATATTATGCAACAACCAGAGATCCAGATGTTAATCCCGGTTGTGATGCAATGATAAAATTCAAGGGTATAATCCACTGGAGAAGCTCGTTTACAAAACAAATTTAACCAAGCATTACTATATGCTCAAGAATCTTAGGAAACGAAAACCAACAGTTCGGAGACGATTACATTAAAACTCTTCCTTTGGGTGATCTCGCTGCGTGTCCCTCCTCTCCCAATCCCCTGCAAAATCCTCACGCAGCGTTTTAATTTAGGCTCTAAAAGGTCGGCCCGGAGGGGGCAGGGAGACCTGCATCAGGTGGTTATCTCAGCACGTACTTTTCACGAGCTACCCGCGCAGGTTTCCAGGAGGGAGGCACGGATTTCATCATCCTTTCCCACGCACAATCCTCGTAGTAAAAACGTGAGCCAGACCCCGGAGGCGTAAACCACCGCGGATCTCCATCCTGCCCTCCCCGGTGGCCCAGGCCTCTCCGAGGTCTGCGGGACGGACGGCTGGGAACGCTGGGACACACGGAAGGGCAACGAGAGGGGCTCCGGGGGGCGAAGGCTCCACACCGTACCGGCGGGCCGCGAGGGAGGGGCCGCGCCGAGCACCGCGGGAGCCGGCGGCGCGGCCGACCCGAGCCCGCACCTCCCCCCGCGCGGGGCCCGCTGCCCCGAGCCCGCCCGGGCTCCCCGGAGGCCGCGGGGAGGGCT